CGAAACTCCGTCCCAAAAAAAAAAAAAAAAAAGAAAATTAGGCAAAGTTTGAAAGAGGTAACGTTTGCAATGAACTTGGAAGGTTTGATGAGATTTTGATAATGGAGACAAGGCTCGGCATGGTGGCTTGTGCTTGCAATCCCAGCACTTTTGGAGGCCAAGGTGGGAGGATAGTTTGAGCCCAGGAGTTTAAGACCAGCCTGGGCAACATAGTGAGACCTCATCTCTACAACATCAAAAAAGGATAATGGAGACAAGGCAGGGAAAATTGAGGTCAGCACTTGGACCTTCAGATATAGAAGTAGGAAAAAGCAAAATGCTTTGTAGCTAGTTTTTGTATAGGAAAATAAATAGAAATAAGGGTGAAAGGAGAGGATTTGTCATATTGTGGAGCATCTTAGCTGCCAGGCTGGGAGGTAGTACTTCACTCCTGAGGCCCGAGGGATGAGGCCTTCGGGGAGGGTGACTCATCCTGGGCAGAGCAGGAGACAGCATTAGGACAAGGTGAGGACCGAGGCTGAGGATGCTGGAGCCGGGTTGGTGGGAGTCCAAAACTAAGCTATCCCTTCCTGGCCCTGGGTGTGTTCCTTACCTCCAAATGTCTTCCTTCCTTCTCTTGAAAGTGGAGGTGAGAATACTAGGACCTGCCGTATAGGGTGTAGGCAGGAGCGAGCGAGAGAATCCCATACAGCCTGGCACATAGTGAGCCCTGGAACACGTTGATGCTGGCCAGAGCAGAATCTGGGCTCCAGTTCAGTAGACACCAGGGGAGAACCTTTCTATGTGTTAGTGTAGAAAGAACACTGTTCATGACCTTACGGAAGTAATCAAGCAACTTATAAACAAAGGGCTGCTGGGAAGTTGTTACTGAGCTTGTCTATAAGTCAAGCTCTAGATTAATAATGGGACGCACTTTGGGAGACTGAGGCGGGGGTATTGCTTGAGGCCAGGAGTTTGAGACAAGCCTGGCCAACATGGTGAAACCCCATCTTTACTAAAATTACAGAAATTAGCCTGGTGTGGTTCTGCATGCCTCTAATCGCAGCCACGCCGGGAGGCCGAGGTGTGAGAATTGCTTAAATACAGGAGGTAGAGGTTACAATGAGCTGAAGTCGTGCCACTGCACTCCAGCCTGGACAACAAAGCGAGACTCAGTCTCAAAAAAAAAAAAAAGATAGGTTGACTGGGCATGGTGGCATATACCTACGATCCCAACACTGAGAGGCTGAGGCGGGAGGATTGCTCGAGCCCAGGAGTTCTAGACCAGCTTGGGCAATATAACAAGACCCTATCTATTGGGGAAAAAAAAAAGCCAAGCATGGTGGCTACCAGTTACTTGGGAGGCTGAGACAGGAGGATTGTTTGAGCCTGGTTGAGGCTTCAGTGAGCTGTGATTATACCACTCCACTCCTGGGTGATGGAGTGACACCCTGTCTCAGAAAGAAAGGGAGAAAGGGAGAGAGAGAGAGGAGAGAGAGAGAGAAAGGAGGGAGGGAAGGAGGGAAGGAAGGGAGGGAGGGAGGGAGGGAGGGAGGGACGGACAGAAGGAAAGGAGTAAATGTAAGGGCAACACAAAAGAAAGTTTTGGTAGACCTGAGGCTTCTTTTCTTTTCTTTCTTTCTTGCCCATTTTGTAAAGGGTATTCTGCCTATACCCATTCTAAAATATCCACATTCCTTTACAGTTAGTGTAGGGCAAGCTATTACTGAATAACAGCCTCTGCTTTTTGCGCATTTCTGTGGATTCAGTATAAAGATTCTAACATTGTTGCTTTATGGTCGACCCCTTGGTGAATGTGCATCATTGAGGCTATAATCACTGCCTTTATTTGTTTCTGATTTGATCTTACAGTGGACATAAGTCAGGCAGAAGGTGTGGCAGGGGAGGAAGTGCTTGTAGCTTTCACTTCAGGAGCATGAAATCTTGTGTTTTCTCCTCTCCCTGCTGGTGGTGTTGTTGGGTAGGTCTCTTCTACCTGGTGATAAGAGAATGAGCATCCTGCAAGCTTCTGGTAAGATCAAACTGAACAAATAGATCACCAACCTGAAAACATCCAAACATTGCATCTGTTTTGAGTAGACACATTGCCAAATTTTAAATCATATCCAACCAAGGATGGGAGGCAAAGAGTTGATGTTGTTCCAGTAGCCTGGTGACACTTGTCATGTCCCTATGCCCTGCATTCCTGGAAGGATTAGAGGAGCCGGGGGTTGCTTGCACCAATCACCATCCAGTCTGGAACCCTAGTATTCCAAAAGTGTGGTAGCATCCCAAAAGTGTGGGTCCTTGTTGACTCACTTAGACTTCTTTGGTATCTTAAAGCTTAGGGAAAACTTGTTCTCAAAAGCTCACTGATTTTGATCCTGGAGATAAAAGTATTAACGTTTAGTAATATTCTTTCCATTTAGATCTACAGAGTTGGATTCTAACTGGTCGTGGTTTCAGTTGCGATGCATGCAAGTTGGAGGAAATGCCAATGCAGTAAGTTCATCTCAAACTTGTTATTTTCTTTCTTGTTTAAATATTTGTTATGTTGTAATAGTAAAGAAGTTCAGGCTAGGCGTGGTGCTCATGCCTGTAATCCCATCCCTTTGGGAGGCCAAGGTGGAGGATCACTGGAGCCCAGGAGTTCAACATGGCGAGACCCTAGGCAACATGGCGAGACCCTGTATTTAGAAAAACCAAACAGGCCAGGCGCTGTGGCTCACTCCTATAATCCCAGCACTTTGGGTGGCCAAGGCAGGCAAATCACTTGAGGTCAGGAGTTTGAGACCAGCCTGGCCAACGTGGTGGAACCCCATGTGTACTAAAAAAAAAAGCAACAACAAAAATTAGCTGGGCATGGTGCCACACACCTGTAATCCCAGCTACGTGGGAGGCTGAGCAGGAGAATTGCTTGAACCTGGAAGGCAGAGGTTTCCGTGAGCTGAGATCATACCACTGCACTCCAGCTGGGCGACAGAACAAGACTCCATCCCCATAAACAAACAAACAAAAAGAGTTCAATACTTGCAAGTTTGGGAGGCCCTATGACATGAAGAAGAGAGCCTGATGGGTTTTGAAGTTAGACCCAGTTCACTTGTTTATTCAAAAATCTGTTAAACACCTAATAAACAGGAAACGTTGGCTAAGTGCTAGGGATATAGTGACAGACAAGACAAACAAGTTCCCTTCTGGGTGTGGTTTCTCATGGTTGTAATCCTAGAACTTTGGGAGACTGAGTCAGGCAGATTGCCTTGAGCCTATGAATGAATACAAGACCAGCCTGGACAACATGGCAAAACCTCATCTCTACAAAAAATACACAAATTAGCAAAGCATGGTAGTGCATACCTGCAGTCTAAGCTACTCGGGAGGCTGAGGTGGGAGGATCTCTTGAGCCTGGGAGGTAGAGGTTGCAGTGAGCTGACACCATTGCTCTCCAGCCTGTGTGACAGAGTGAGACCTTATCTCTAAAAAATAATTTAAAATAACCAAGATCCCCTCTTAAGAGACAGAGGCTTTCAGAGAGTAATCAAAGAAATATGTTCACAGGAAAACAACAGGCCATGGTAAATGCTTTAAGAAAATTAAAACAGGAAGTGAGGGCATGAAGAAGCTGGAGGCTTCTTTATGACAATAGTTTTTTAATATCTGGGGTGACTTTGTGCTTAGGATGGAATGCTTGTATTTGAATTAACATTTAACTTTTAAATCTACAAATTAAAAAAAAAAACATTCTGTTTGTTTGTTTTTGTTTTTGTTTTTTTAGAGACAGGGTTTGACCATGTTGGCCAGACTGGTCTTGAACTTCTGACCTCAGGTGATCCGCCCACCTCAGCCTCCCAAAGTGCTGGGATTACAGGCGTGAGCCACTGTGCCCAGCCTGTTTTTGTTTTTTTGAGATGGAGTCTGGCTCTGTTGCCCAGGCTGGAGTGCAGTGGTGCCATATCGTCTCACTGCAACCTCTGCCTCCCTGGTTGAAGAGATTCTCCTGCCTCAGCCTCCTGAGTAGCTGGGACTACAGGCACGCACCACCATGCCCGGGTCTTTTGATATTTTTAGTAGAGATGGGGTTTCACCATGTTGACCAGGCTGGTCTTGAATTCCTGACCTCAACCGATCTGCCCGCGTTGGCCTCCCAAAGTACTAGAATTACAGGGGTGAGTCACCGTGCCCAGCCAAAAAACCCATCCTTCACGTCTTCAAATGTAGCAAATGTTGTGTGTTAATTTCTAAACACAAATATTAATATTGTGTGTTGTTTAGTTTGTAATTTTAAAAGAACAGATTTCCTTAAACCCCATTTACAAACCTGATTAAGGATTTTCAAACACTTTAAACTTTATTTACAAATTCAATATATTTGATTATCTGAAACACTGAACTGGCAGCCTTACAAATCTAACCAGCCAAATCTTGCAAAGCACTGGTAGCCTCTTTATCAGGCCAAAATGGTGTAGGTTGAGTAAATGGAATTCTTTTAGGCATTTCTTACATGCTAAAGTATAAGAAATCAAATTTGTATACATTTCAAATAAAAATTATGGCCAGCATGGTGGCTCATGCCTGTAACTCCAACACTTTGGGAGGCTGAGGTGAGAGGAACACTTGAGTCCAGGAGTGTAAGACCAGCCTGGGCAACATAGTAAGACCTCATCTGTACAAAAAAACTTAAAAATTAGTAAGGCATGGTAGTGCCTGCCTATAGTCTCATCTGCTCAGGAGTCTGAGGTGGGAGGATCACTTGAGCCCAGAAGTTCAAGGCTGCAGTGAGCTGTGATAATGCCATTACACTCCAGCCGCGGTGACAGAGCAAGACCCTGTCTCAAAAAAAAAGATAATAATAATTATATATATCTATATATATATATGCACACATACACACACACACACACACGCACATGTATACACACACGCACACATATATGCATATCAATTAAATTGTTAAAGTTGTAAGCCTAAGATAGCAGTTTTCAAATTGCTAGTTTCTCAATCTTTTTTCATCGTTGTCCCTAAGCAGAAAAATTAATTAATTTTCCATTTAAATTGGATCTAATGTTTCCTTAATGAGAGAAATTAAATACTAAGGGATACAATTTTGTCAAGTAGAGGCGACCTTTGGAAGGCCACAAACCATTGTAATAACTAAGATTTTTTTTTTTTTTACTTTCCAATAAACAATTTTTGCCCTTCTTAATGAAAAATATATCCCTGGCCAGGCATGGTGGCTCACACCTGTAACCCTAGAACTCTGGTAGGCTGAGGCAGGAGGACCACTTGAGCCCATGAGTTCAAGACCAGGCTGGACAACAAAGCCTACAAAAGCATTTTTTAATTAGCCAGGCATAGTGGTGCATGCCTGTAGTCCCAGCCACTTGGGAGTCTGAGGCAGGAGAATCACTTGAGCCCAGGAGGTTGAGGCTGCAGTGAGCAGTGTTCACCGTGCCACTGCACACTAGCCAGCCTGGGTAACAGAGCAAGACCGTCTCAAAAAATAAAAAGAAAAAGAATATATGCCTTAGATGTTTCAACCTTTTTTTTTTTTTTTTGAGACAAAGTCTCACTCCTGTTGCCTAGGCTGGAGTGCAGTGGCAAAAGCATGGCTCACTGCAGCCAGCCTCGGCTTCCTGGGCTCAGGTGATTCTCCCACTCAGCCTCCCAAGTAGCTGAGACTACATGCAAGTACCACCATGCACAGCAAGTTTTTTACATTTTTAGTATAGACAGGGTTTTGCCATGTTGCCAGGCTAGTCTTGAACTCCTAGGCTCAAGTGATCTGCTCACTTCGGCCACCCAAAATGCTGGGATTACAGGCATGAGCCACCGGACCCGGCCAGTGTTTCTTATTAATTTTTAAATTAATTTTTAATTAATTTTTTAATTAATTTTCTATTTTTTTGTAGAGACATGGTCTCATTTCGGTTCCCAGGTTGGTCTCAAACTCTTGGCCTCAAGCAATCCTCCTGCCTTGGCTTTCTAAAGTGCTGGGATTACAGGCATGAACCACTGTGCCCAGCCTCACGCATCTTATTAGAAACCTTTGCCCATTATCATGGTGTTTACAGACTTGTTCCTAAACTTAGCACTGTTGGTTTGACTTACCTGTCTTTGCTTCTAAGCCTTCCCAAGGCTGCAGAGTCACCCTCCAAACTCCAGAAAGGAGCGTTCTCATTTCAAGCCAGCAGGGGTTAGGGTACATGGGGAGGGAAGGCTCACATCAGTGGTCATTCAGCTTACCCAGTGGCGCTATGAGTTATGGGCTTGGAACCATCCTTTTTGTATTTGAATCTTAACTCTGTCGTTCACTACCCATGTGACCTGGGGCAAGTAGTCGAACCTCTGAGTGCTTCATTTTCCCCATCTGTAAAGTGTGGATAGTAATAGTGACTGTCTGAAGTGTTGGTGTGAGGATTGAATGAGATGATGCCCATAAAGCACTTGGGATCTGGAACATGTGGGTGACCAATATCATTATTAGTCAATTGTTAATAAAAGGATCACTGGCCGGGCGCGGTAGCTCACGCCTATAATCCCAGCACTTTGGGAGACCGAGGCGGGTGGATCACGAGGTCAAGAGATCGAGACCATCCTGGTCAGCATGGTGAAACCCCGTCTCTACTAAAAATACAAAAATCAGCTGGGCATGGTGGCACACGCCTGTAGTCCCAGCTACTTGGGAGGCTGAGGCAGGAGAATTGCTTGAACCCAGGAGGCGGAGGTTGCGGTGAGCCGAGATCGCGCCATTGTACTCCAGCCTGGGTAACAAGAGTGAAACTCCTTCTCAAAAAAAAAAAGGATCACTTGTATAGGTTTTTAGAAAACCTGTTTTAATTAAGATTAAATTCTATAATTTATGTCTATACATGGATCCTCATGAAGTGGGTGAAAGCAGTTTTTTCTAATTGTTTAAATACTTGTTCTATCATCTTACCTATATTGTAGTCTCTGTTAATGACAAAATGGTGCTGAAAAAGGTAAATGTTAATGTAGCTCCTAATTTGTCAAAAATTCTGATTTAGTAGAATCCAAATTGAGATTGATTGTGGACTGGGTGTAGTGGCTTACTCTTCTAATCCCAGCACTTTGGGAAGCCAAGCTGGGAGGATTGCCTGAATCCAGGAGTTGGAGGCTGCAGTGAGCCATGATCATGCCACACTATATTCCAGCCTGGATGACAGAGTCAGACCATCTCAAAAACAAAGAAAAGGGTCAGGAGCAATGGCTCATGCCTGTAATCTGAGCACTTTATGAGGCCAAGGCAGGTGGATCCCTTGACCTCAGGAGTTCAAGACTAACCTGAGCAACACAGTGAGACCCCATCTCTACAAAAAATACAAAAATTAGCCAGGTGTGGTGGCACACACCTGTAATCCCAGCTACTTGGGAGGCTGAGGTGAGGTGGTGGGATCACTTGACCCCAGGAGGTGGAGGTTGCAGTGAACCGAGATGGAGCTACTGCACTGCAGCCTGGGTAATAGAGCAAGACTCTGTCTCAAAAAAAAGAAAAAAAAAGTGGCCGGGCATGGTCGTGCATGCCTGTATTCCTAGCACTTTGGGAGGCTGAGGCGGGCAGATCACAAGGTCAGGAGTTTGAGACCAGCCTGGCCAACATAGTGAAACTCTGTCTT